TGTTCAGCCTGGAGAAGAGAAGGCTCTGGGGAGACCTTATAGCAGCCTTCCAGTACTTGGGGCAGGGGTGGGGGGCGCCTTGCAGGAAAGATGGGGAGGGACTCTTTATTGGGGAGTGTAGTGATAGGAGGAGGAGTAACGGTTTTGAACTGAAAGAGGGTAGATTTAGATTAGGTATTGGGAAGAAATGGGAACAGGTTGCCCGGAGAGGTGGTGGATGCCCCATCCCTGGAAACCTTCAAGGTCAGGTTGGCTGGGGCTCTGAGCAACCTGATCTAGTTGAAGATGTCCCTGCCCACGGCAGGGGGGTTGGACTAGATGACCTTGAGAGGTCCCTTCCAACCCAAACTATTCTGTGATTCTAAATACAACTTTGCCATTTTGGAATGTTGCATAAAAATGTAAAAACTTTTTGGATGCTAACTTGTGCCGTTGCTGTCTCTTAACACTTCTCTAGATGCTGATCGAGTGGACAGCACAACACTGTTGGGTGAGTAACGTTCTTATTTTCACAGGAAGTTCCATAATCTGTCAGAGGGATAAAAATAAGTCTCATTTACAAAGTAGTTAAATGATTATAGTGCAGCACTCTGATTTAGCTCTGAAAGTCTGCTTAACATACTCTCTTTTTGCCCTCTTATTTTCTTTCTACATATTAGCAGATAACTGCTGGCTTTCAGGTGTCAATAAAATGACAAATGATAAAATGGAAAAGCTCCAGAAAATGTGTATAAAAAATTATTAATGCTGATCAGAGTATTCTAAGGTAATACTAACATCCATGAGGTTTTGGCTTAAATTTCCAAACATACGTTTGGCTATTTTGAACGCCTTCCTTAAGAAGGTATGGAGGAGTGAATCTCAAGCTTAAGCGTGTAGTACTGAAGGTGAATTTTTGGCTAAGCATTGTTCAGGTATCTTTGTGATACTTCTGTGAATAAGCAGAGCAATAATACATTCCAATTTATGGTATATAATAGCAAAACTTCCCTTTGAAACAACACTTCAACTTAAAAACATTACGCTTCTAAGATATTTGTGCTGCTGCTGCAAATGATACCAAACCTGTATAAAAATATTTCATTATTGCATATAAGGGTCTTTGGCATCGCAGGAGATTAAACCCCCCCCCCACTTCTTCACAATCAAAAAGTACACAAGGTCCAAGCTACTTGTGGGCAGATGTAAAGTCAGAGATTACTTTTGTAATTGCAACTAGATTTTAAGCTTATATGTCTTTCAGATGAGTTCATAAATCCCTTTTTCAGTAAAGTACAATTAGGCATCAGTGGAGAAGAAACCAAAAACTTGAGGACAATTTATTCCAGTTCCACTTGACATAAAGCTCCTTTACTAACTTATTAGCACCCCCCTTACAAGTAATCTTAGCACCCATTTACTTGTATTTTGGAATACATAGCAAGTTAAAAAAAAAAATTATTCCTTAACACAGATTTGTAGAATACCCCACAAAAAAAAATATCTAGAGGTTTAAGTGATGGATGTCCTGATTTTGAAGGAATTTCCCTTCCATTCATTTTTACTGTCCAGCTATGCTGTTTATACTTTCAACAGTAGCTCACACCAGCAATTTTTTTCCTCTGAATGAGGGATCCAAACTTTTTAAAGAAGCTTCTCACCTGTGAACTCCACAGGCATTATCACACAAAATCAAGAATTATTTTCCTCAGAAGGCAGCTGTATAATTGGCTACTTCCCGTTTTATATGTTAGTACCAGAGCTCAGTGTTGGGGAAGAGCTAGAGATCACTGAACTGGTGCAGACTTCCAGTAGGGTTAGTGTTATAATTCAGAATTCAAATACAAGAACCTCAGTGGACCAGTAGTGTGTTTATTTTAATATTTGGTGCTTGTAATAAAAAGTATACAAAGCACACGTGTAGCAACATTAAAATATCTTTTTTTTTTTTTTCCCCCCTCTCCCTCCACAGGAACTTCATGTGTGGACTGTGCTAAAAGGAAGTTAGAAGAAAACGGCACTGACTCTCCTAAGAGAATCAAGCAGTCAGACAATGGTATACTCACTATTTAAGTGGGGGGAAAAAAAACCCCAACCAACCCAAAACCCAACCCAGCAGCTCTTTAACAGTAGGTGTTTTACATCTGCTGCATGAAAAGTTTTGAGCTGAGTATTCCCATGGTTTTAAGTGGAATAAAAATTGTGCATCTTGGCCTTTTCTTTCCTAGAGCTGTAAATGTGTAATGTATGTAAAGCTTGAGCATCGTACTAGTCCCTCTCCAGGCACTTCCGTACTACTAAAACTGTATCTGCAGGGTCGTTTAGAAGCAGGTGTGAGTTTTCTCTCCCTGTGCTTCAAGCCAGTTGGACCAAGCTCTGACCAAGGTGAAGCCACGACAGAGGTACTGTTTGAATCTGTCAGAAATTACTTTTGACATACCTGCGACTATCTGTTAGTTGCCTTTGAAATGAAGGGTTTTCTGTTCTTTTCTCATCAGCTGAACTGCAGTTAGGCTGCTGGAGGTTGAACTCTTCAGGGGTCTGTCAGCACATGGCTGCTTGCAAGCTTCAGGTTCAGATCCCTAAGCTGTTAGGAAGCGTTGTTTCACGTTTATAGATCCTGCATCATGATAACCTGCCTATTTTACGCTTTCAGCACGAGTATTTGTTTTCATTTGTCAGTCTGTTAAGGCATGAGATCACATGGAGAAAAGGATGGAATAGTAATGTTATCAGCAAGAACATACACCATATGTACATGGGGGCTTACTGACCTATTTGCAGTGTATTTCTATGGAAATATTTCAAATATTGTTGTTTAAATTGCAGAGTATGCTGCCAGTTATCTCAGAAAGCAGATAATGGATAGTCTTAATGCAGCAGAATTAAAACCAGTTAGTATCTAATTGTGTATCTGTAGACAATTTCTAGTGTGTAAGTTTGACTTCAGTTGAACTACTCAGTGATTAAGGTTAATGCAATGCCTAACTGTTGGGGTTTTTTTTTTCTGAGGTGCTGTTACTTCACCTGCCACTGAATTGTCTCAGCACTAAACTGACATAATTACCAGTCCAGTTGCTAACACTGGTAATCGTATGAAATGTTCTAGTCGGCTGCCTCTCCCCTCAGTGTCTGCAGGAGAGCACGTTCAGGACCATTCTTTGTTCCTACACTGGCACATTCATACCTGGCAGTCCTGGAGGGTTGCTTCAGTCAGGTTTCTCTGCTTATGTTCCCTGTGGATTTGACGTTACGCCTTCAGAGATCACATCACACTATAACAAGCTTTTACAGGGAGTGAAAGTGATGAGTCTGTCAGATGACCTTTCTGTCTGAATTGTGGTATGTCAACTCTTTACTCCCACGTCACAAAAACCATTTCTGCTTGGTTCTCTAGTATGTATGTGTGCAAAATGAAAAGCTTAAAAGCTTCTTTCTAGTCTAGAAACTACTGAGATGGGTAGAGTTTTTGTGGTGTGGAAGTCTTTGTCCCTGTTCTGAAGTAGATAAAGATCTCAAGACATTTTGCCTAGAAAAGCAATCATCTTAAACAATGCATGCACACTGACTCTTGTCTTCTACCCCAGAAGAAAACACCCAGTTGTCTTTCATGATTGACAGTCTGGAAACCATACTTGGGTTTTAGTATGTGATATAATTGCTAAGGACCTCAAGCATCAGTTCTCAGGGTTTCAGCCGTGTTTTTTAAAAGGTAAAAATCAAAAGCAAACCCAGCCTGAATATAGACCATACGCATCCTCTCCCTTTGAGACACTGTATTTATACATACATCACTTTTGAAAATTAAGTCTTCTAGCATTGCGTATAGCGCTCTCTGTAAAACTCCAACCTCTCAAATTTGCTTCTCTAGTCAACATGAATTGGCTGTTTTCAAAAGCGATCAGCCATGCTATTTTGGATGCTGATGTTATCAGCTTATAACACTTTAATTTTGCTACAGCTTGAAGCAACAATTTATCAGATGAGCTGAGCTATTTATGACGCTGATTACCACAATTATTTAAGCCCAACCCTAAAGTCATGTAACTCCTTATCTTGTGCCTGAGTCAGATCCACATTAGGAAATCACACCGCCTCCCTTTGGTAAGGATCAACTTACACCTAGCATTGGTGATGATTCTTCAGTTTTGTAGACACTGCTGAACTGCAACTTACTTACACAACAGCCTCCCCTGACTCAAGTGCCATTTATTTGTATCATGAAAAGCAGATGAGTAAGTAGGGAGTTATTTTAATTCCTAACATACACAGGAAGAAGGTAGAAATGCCTAAGTTTGGCGTGTCCTCCCCCCCACCCCCTGCACTCCAATAATATATTTTAGTCATCTTAGGGATGGGATTGCCTTGCAGCTACCTCAGGGTTTAAAACAGTCAAAAGGGTCAGAACCTGAAGCTTGCCTGTTCCATTTATCTGTTAAGTGAAAGAGTAACTTGTTTAAGGCCCTGTTCAAATTACTACCTGAGTACTGTGAAAGAACTAACCATACAAATTGGCATGTGAAATGATGTTTGCCAATTCTACCGTAGAGGGCTGCTCTTCTACTTAAGTCATAGTTGTTTTTTTTAAAATGGGAGTAAGATACTTACTGAAAACAAACTTGTTGACCATTTATTATCCTGTTGTGCTCAAGCTGTGTAATGAATGTGATAGGACACCTCTGATGAGGGCATACAATCTTTTAATAAAGTATTTGAAGCTAAATAGACCATCCTCGTATAGTAGCTAAGACATGTAGCTTTCACCATTCTTCAGACTGTTCAATTCTTTACTGTATTTTTCTATTTCAACCAGCCATTCCTAGCAACAGCTAGGAACTTCAGTTCCTAGTCTTAATGCAGCATAAGACTAGGTTAAAAAAAAAAAGCTACAACAAAACTTCTGTATTTGCAATACACAGAGTGATGTGGGTCAAAGATCTTTGAAAATCACTAGAGGCTGCTCTTCTATTCATCCTTCACACTACTATTAAGTATTTCCGCATCTGTCAATGGATTCTGAATTAAGGGACTGATGCTAACTTATGACTTACGCTCAGAGTTAAGTAATTTTATTTAATAAAGGGTGGCAGCAACATAAGTATTTGATAAACATCTGTCTACAGTATAAGTAAGTGGACACATTCATGTCATTGAAATGTTCCCATAGGAACACGCTATCTGCTGCTCACATGTCATTCCTTCCTTATGCAATAACCCCACATGTCCAGACATCATCAGTTGTGTGCAACAAGCACAGTATTAGCAACACATTACAAGGTAGATGTGTATAAGCAGCATGGTGGATAAAAGGAAGCTAGTATATGAGCTTAAGAAGATGTAATTATTATGAACAACCATAAACCAAATAAAGCTCTTCGGCATACACCGAGGTGAAACATAAGCCACGTGAAGTGATTCGAGCTCTCTCAAACAGTGTTCTGTATGCAACTTTATTAACTTTGCTTCTTACATGAAGCACGGCCATCAAAATAAACTCGACTTTACTGGGACAGCTACATAATGACGATCTCAACTGCAAACCAATATATTTTTTCTAAGGCTGCTACCTGTATGGCATCTGACTCACACCTGTTTTATTCTTTCCACTTTCATGTGGGGTAGCATCTGACTCACACCTAGAGAGATATATGATGAGCTTTTGTGAAGTTAGCTAACTAGTATTTTCATAAGGTTGCAGTGGAAGACTGAAGTGTTACTGGGCATCACAAAAGTCACATAAGCTAATGGGCGGATTCCAGTATCATCTTGTTTTAAAAAACAGGAAATAACCCTATCTGAAGGCAAACAGATGCAGCTGCGACACAAAAAGAGAGCGTTTGTAAAGGTCTTGACTAGTGGTAGCATGCATCTAAACAGTGCACTGGAGATACGGCTAAACACATTACTTTTCATAAGGAAAGGAAAGGCTTATTCTTCGTAATAGTGTGCTTATGTGAACCCGTAGTCCTTCATCTTAAGGCAAAAACACCTAAAACACTTGAAGAGAAAGCTTTGCATACCAGAATGTACACACTTCAGTAACGACCTCTGGCTATCTCTTACTTGTTAACAAAACTGTATCAATGACCAGCAGTTGCTTCCTTCAATATTTTAGAAAACTGCTTTGTTCGAAAGGTAAACATTTCTCTATCAACCTCTAACAGCCACATTCAAACTCAGGATTTGTTACAGTCAGCTGTAAACACAGTTCTTGCTGTTGTCACCTGGCCCTGAAATCATCCATGCTTTATTCCGAAACGGAACTGCGCTTGTGCTTCTCTGTTCTCTCCTGGTCATTCATGTCTGGATACTCGGTAAGATCCAAAGTCAGTACTCGACTGAACATAAAGTCATCATGCTGAGAAGAGGAAGGATCATACAATTTTAAAACATTTCTGTAATTTGAAATAAGCATTTCATAAATGACTATGAGATACAATAATGAGCTTGAGTTACCAAAATGATCTTTTCATCGAGCCGGTACCTGCACTTATTTCTGAACACAAAGTAGTTCAAATCCAGCAACACAATTATGTACGTGATTCACTGTAGTAACAAGGTGTAAATCAGTACTTCAGCAAAAACCAGTGTGTATTATTTTAACAAAACTTGGTAATAATTAATTGTTACCTCTGGACACACTCCAATCAATGCGTCTGCTTTGGAATAAAACTCTTCCTTTAGAGAAATAACTATCATTTGAAGCTGTTCATGTGCCTGTTCTCTAATGAAACTTGATACCTTTGGAAAGAAGCCAAATATTTCAGTAAGTTAGTTCTGGCAGACTTAAACCATGCTATAATTAGGGAATGATGAGGAAAGAACTGAGCTTCATTAGCTGCAGAATTCACTAATTCAGTTATGAAATAAGCAGGATAAAATGAGAAATAATACAGTCTTAAGACAGGGACTTCGCATGTTCTTAAAGACAACCCCTCGGATTTGCTGCTTTTTGAAAACACTTAAGAAAATAATCACTCGCTCCAATGAATAAAGTTACAGAAAAAGGGTCAGTGACAATGAAAAATATTTTACTTAATATAACTACAAAGGAAGGGGGAAATTCCTGAATAAGGGAAAAAAAAGTGTGAAACGGTTGTTACTGGCTGTATACTAAAATCTTAAATACATATTAGTTCGCTGCAGACAGCAACATTTTTTTTTCAATGATCTGCAAAATAAAAGGACAAATATTAAGTTATAAATCAGTGACTGAATAAGGCAGTATGCCGCCATATAAGTTACATGCTGAATAAAGGAAAACCAGCACATTTTTAATTAGACTTTTGTCTGCACAGTTATAGCTATGTGATAGGGAAGTCATTTTTTTTAAACGGAAGAGCTGCCTTTAGTGAGTTACATAATTCACATTCATTTTACAGTATAATTACAAGTAAATTATTGGAGATACACTTTAGTAAATCCTTAAACTGAAAGAACGGAAAGAAAAAGACTTAGTTCTGAGCATGAAACCTGGATACTAGTGAGTACTAGCAACATTTTCCATATATCATTTTTGCTCACTTGCAGTATTTAATTCCTCTGTCTGAAGGTTTTGGTGCTTTCCAATAACAACTGCATCTTGCAGATAAGGGAAGAGATAGAAAAGACCCTGGGAGCAGGGAAACATTAAGTGAATTATACTTGCAGATCACTGCAATTTTGCTTTTCCTCATTCTGCAATTTAAGACACTTTTTGCACATGCTTAAAGAATAATCTAACTCTCCTCATAACAAAACCTAGACAGATGTTGAAGCCAATCAAAGGAATTTTCTAGGAAACCACTATTTTGTCACCCTCTTCCTCCATTACACGGGAATGTGTAATTCCATGCATATTACGGAATATCTGCTCTCCAAGCATACTACCCATCACAGCCTGTATCACAGGTTGCCTGCTTCATGTTGCTTATGTGAAAAGAGCAGCCTTTTTAGTAATCCTGCCCCAACCCCTCCACGCTGCATCTGGTTACGGGAGCAGCAGGCAGGAGGAGGACTGCAGAAGGGCAGTAAGCCAAACGGGACGTTCTGGACTGGGGCCACGCAGCTGGTATGCCCCAGCCTTACAGGAGACGGGCATCTCTAGCCATGAAGGTTACAAAACAGGTAGAAGCCCAATTCAAAGCAGGAAGCTCAGTGTAACTTCCCAGTCAGGTTAGATGGGCCCCAAGGACTCAACTAAAGGCTTAACGTAGACTACTAAGGCAATTTCAGGGTTAACCCTAATGTGTAATATAATGCAAGTTTAATAGCTCTTTGGCCATAAAGCGCTATTTATGGATGTTATTTTTATAAATATACATTAGACCAGAACTTAGGATACTTAAAACTTTCTGCATTAATGTTATTTTCTTGAATATGTATCTTAAAAACATACATTATTGTTGCTGATGCGTCAAATGAAATATGATACTTTCAAACTGTAAAAAAATGCCACCAATTGAAGGTTATAAGCCTAGCAACCATTTGGCTAACAACTGTTAATATGACCATCTTTTGTGGGCTACAAATGTGATTTTTACCTGAAGAAAAGTAAACCAGATTTGAAATACATTTGAATTGAGAAACCCAGCTGCATAAAAGAAAAATCAGCTGTTCTTTGTTCATAGCGTTCTGAAAAAGAATGGTGCTCAGCATATTCTTCGGTATAAAGTGGCCATCTCTTCTGCCAGATGTGACAGAATGAGCCTACTCAGAAAGGCAAACTGCAGCAAAGTGCCTCATTACTGTGTTTCTCATTAGCTCTGTTAATGCATCATTTGTAGTCTCTATGGAAAGTTGGTTAACATACTAGAAATCATTAACTTCATGGAATGTGTACGTAATTGATGACCGGTGCATCTATAACTGCAACAGGAACTTATGTGGATAAACTAAAGTCATCCAGGTGATGACCTGCAATTTTGCTAGGCATGATCTGGGACCCCAGCCCGGCTCCAGACAACCATGGAGAATTTTACATTCGTATCGAAAAGACCACCTCAGAAGTCTGCAGAGATAGGAAGTACTAGACACCTAATACACTGCAGCTTTGATGAAAGACAAAAACGTGAAATTTAGCATTAAATAGTGTAATAGCAGACAAGAAAGACAGGAAAGGAAAACTTGGAGGCAGCCTGCATAACTCTAAGTCATCAGCCATGATACATTTGACTGCAGAATGAAGAATAACATCCAGAATACACAATACTGGTATTTAACCAGAATATGTGATCTTCAACTGTTACGTCAACTCATAGTGGTCCTGAGCAAAAGCCTAGTAACTAGAAGAGTATCCTGTTAAAAAGCTTAGATCACAGAGGTGTTTTTGTGATCACTTGATATGTAACCTTGTGTTGAGGTTTAACCCAGCAGGCAGCTAAACACCACACAGCCATTCACTCACTCCCCCCCAGCCCCTCAGTGGGATGGGGGAGAGAATTGGGGAGGGGGAAAAAAAAAAAAGTAAAATTCGTGGGTTGAGACAAAGACAGTTTAATAGGACAGAAAAGGAAGGGAAAATAATAATAATAATAGAACATACAAAATAAGTGATGTACATTGCAACTGCTCACCACCCACTGACCAATGCCCAGCCAGTTCTCGAGCAGCGGTCACTGCCCCCTTGGCCAGCTTTCCCCCAGTTTATATACTGAGCATGACATCACATGGTATGGAATATCCCTTTGGCCACTTTGGAGTCAGCTCTCCCGGCTGTGCCCCCTCCCAGCTTCTTGTGCACCTCCAGCCTTCTCAGTCAGTAGAGCATGGGAAGCTGAAATGTCCTTGGCTAGTGCAAGCACTGCTTAGCAACAACTAAAACATCGGCGTGTTATCAACATTATTCTCATCCTAAATCCAAAACACAGCACTGTACCAGCTACTAGGAAGGAAATTAACTCTATCCCTGCCGAAACCAGGACACCTTGTTTCTAATCATGTCATTGAGAGCCAAACCCTAAAGCTTGCTTAGTTATTTTCCTTGCAATCCCATTATAGCTAATCTGGTGTTGCTGAAACACACTGGACCGAGTTAAAACAGACTCGGGGCATATCATCTGCTTGGAAGTAGTGGATGATGGGTATCCCTCACGGACTTGTATCCCAAGGAATGTTTAAGGAACTTGGGTTCAGGAAAACACTTCTCACAATGCTGCGTGGAGTCAGTAATCTCCAAGAAGGAATTCTATCTGGCAGGCACAAGTAACGGAGCTTCCCCAGCTGTCTACTATAGAGGTACCCTCCAAGTAAACTCTGGTGCACTTGGCACATCACTCCACTGGGGGGGGGAGAGAAAAAAAAACAACCCAGTTTTGTGTTTATAAAACTGGTTTTGTCTGTTAGGCTCTACCTAAGACTGACATCACTGTTAATGCAAGTAGAAATATAGCTTGATCTTACTTTATGTGGAAAGGAATGTTTCCATGGAAGAAAATCCAGGCACGTGCGGAGGCCTTTTTGATTCCTCTCCTACATACAATCTCCTTGTATTGAGTCTCCTGCTCCCAGAGGCTGACATTACAGCTGGCAATCTTTACTGTTTCTGTCCTATCTTAAGTTTTTGTTACAGTGAACAGTTATTAGCAAAAAGGGAAAGAAATTGAGAGGAGGACAGGACGCTATTTTAATCAAGCAAGAATTCATGTGACTAAAACGATGGGAGTGACAGCCCTTAATTGGTGTTAATGTAAAAATATTTAGTAGGCCAGTTACATAAAGTAAATACTGCAGTGATAGAATGACTTGATTTTCAACACGCTGATTTTCCTTTCTGCCTCTTAGACATAAGGGAACTCAAAGGCCTTAAAAATTCCAACCAAAGAAACCCAACCAGCAATTCACAAGTGACCTTCATGTCAGATCGTACCACACGTAGTCATGCTGCATGCTTTCACACTCCTGACCTATTTTTCTCAACTTCACAGTTTGGGGACTGATTAAAACACACTTAGATTTACGAATTTAAACCTGGCCCTAGTCTAACATCTCATACAACCACTATTTCAGTCCTAAACCCAATATATTTTAGAACAGGTTAAGACAGTGTAATCAATCTCTTTATCCCAAGAACCTGTAATGAAAAGTCAGCATCTTTCTACAAAATGTATCGTTATATTGTCGATAAAAGGATAAGGCAAAAGGGACCAACTTACTTTATCAATGTTGGTGTTATCCAGGGCAGCATCTATCTCATCTAAAATAAAAAAAGGTGCTGGCCGAAAACTGTAGAAGACAAGACAGTATTTTGCATTTAGATGCAAAGATGTTAATAAACATTCTAATTACTTCAGAGATTCACTTACTCTATCATAAAATTTTGATAAGAAGTAATGACAGGTAAAGAATAAGGACTTTACAAATGTTTGAATATTCTTATTAGCAGATTTTTTTAAAAACGTGTTTGTAAGTGTAACACTGTCTATCTTCCTGCCACTTACTCAGCCACATACTTGGATAATACCGTAACATTTCTTTTACCTGTGTATAGCAAACATAAGAGCCAGAGCTGCCACAGATTTTTCACCTCCTGACAAACTGTCCATTGGCATAAAGCGTTTTCCCGGAGCCACGCAGTTAAAGCCAATGCCTTCCAGATAAGGCTCCTCAGGATTTTCAGGACTAAGGAATGCCTGGAAACGCATACATTTCATTATTAATAGTGACATTTATAAAATTATTAAGATGGGTACTTTTTAGGTTTAAATACTGACTGAGCTAGTGTTGTAACTTAGCTTCATTTGTAGGTAACACCTGTTCATCCATACTGAAGAGCAGCACTGTAAAATTTCCCAGTGAATATGCCTTTGTTAACGAATCATGAGCTAGGAGGCTAATTAACAAAACCGTTTTGGAAATAGCTCCACATCTTTGGTATTTACAAACTTTCAACTACTAAATAAACTTGATATTATCACCTTTTATGTAATCGCTTTGTTTTTTTTAAATTATTAAGATTTTAGACTTCAAAAGCGGTTTTCTTGTTTGTTTTGAAGTAAATATACTTCCAAAATTACACTTTTTTGTGAAAGGCTAGTTTTATAAAATCTAGCTTTGAGCTGGAGAAAGATTTTGATATAGGTAGGCTTCCTCTATATTTTGTATCCCGGTTCCCAGGTCCAAAAAGTCAAAGTATTATTTTAAAGGAATGGCCATTTTACCAAACCATTAAAAAGTATGATGGATAAGCTAATTGCTACATGGTTTATTTTTCCCATTAAATAGAAGAGACAATAAAACAATACAGTCTCTTCCCCTCTGCACAAGTAGATACAGATAAAAGAAGAATTTCCATAGTTGACACTTATTCCAAATGGCTCCTCTCGGATCATAGATACAGTGGAACAAAACCGAAACACTACAGGTACTTTGATTTAAAATAATTTGTGTGGTAAATAGTCCTGGAAGTAAGATACAGTGCTTGCAGTATCTTTGTTCTGTTGGAGGTATGCATAGTTTCCTTTTTCTCTGCTGAGAGAATGCCCGTCATCGTTATTACAGTGTTCTTCAGGCTGTAAACATGTCAAATATCTTGCAATGCAACTGCCAGTTCTATGCCATTGCATATATCTATGCAAGAGGAAGTTTTTTTTCAGATGTAGGGACACTGTTAGCAAAAATCATCTTGTAGCTTTCTAGGGGGTACGTATATTCCTTGCTCAAAGTATGAAAGGAACAACATTTCTCTCTCCACAGAAGAATGGAAGAGAACTGGTGGTGAACCCAGCAGTGAATACATGTACGTACAGTTTCTTAGGCAGCAGGTTTTTTTAAGGTACTTCTAACACACAATGTGCTGATGAAACAAATTTTACTGAGCGATATATTCAGTGCATGAATGTTTGGAGTCCAGAATCTCTGGAAGTTAAACTAACTCAATCTATCAAAGCTTCCCTTTTTTGGACTGGATAGTAAAGCTTTATTAATAAATGTTATTAATACAATAATATTAAGAAATATTAATTTTAATATTAAGAAATGTTCATGTTAAAAATTGTTAAGGTTGCTTAAAAAGCATCTGTTCAAGCTGCAACCTAGGCCACCTCCTCTGACGGCAAAACTCAGCGCTAACCCTTTCCTTAGCTAACCACAGCAATCGCCACGCACAGAGCAATCATTTCTCTTCCAATGCAATTAGACCAGCTTCCTTCAGCTGCTATGTTAGTATCTAGCAGACAGCTTTAGCTTCCCAGCTAATCACAGGATAATCTCTTGACCAGGTTACCACTATGGTTCAAATCAAGGCACAGTATCACAGACCTCAGAAAGAAAGCACACAACTAATTTTTGGCAACGCATCTGGAATATACTGGTTGTTCCAGAGTGATGCAAAGTCAAGACCTGCCTGATGTTTAGTCTAGGGGAGAAGGTATGTGCCCAGTAATCATGAAGAAAGAAATGCTTTATTATCCTGTCCAACCTAGAAGCAGAAAGGATACGTTTAAATATATTTAAGGTGTTCACTGAATATCTGACTCCAAGGGAAAACACAAAATCTGAAGTTTAAGACAGACAAGAGTTCAAGCCTGAGCCCTTTAAACATTCAACCATCTACCATCAAAGCATTTGGGAGTTTCCTCTTTACTTTCGGCGTTAATACTGGAACACTAGCAAAGATTAATACAATTGTGACACAATTTTTCTACACGTTTCTTAAAAGTTGCGAATGCATTTAAGTCTGTCTTTTTAAAGTATTTATTTAAGTGGGGTATAAGGAGTTTCAAAACCTCATACAAAACACTAGCACCGAAACAGTGATTTATGATTTTTAGTTTTATCTATACTAATGATTAAGTGGTTTTAATACCTTTTTATGGGTATCACTAGATCTGTAAACGAATGTTATTTTTAAATGAAGCACTTGAATATATTTCACATTTGTGTTATGGTAATTTACAAGTCTGCTAAATACAAAGAGTAAAACTAACCCAAACCGAGTAGTTCCCAATTTTGTTAACACTTTAGATCACATTACTCTAATGTCAAGCATGCTTTGGCATATTACCTATTCCTCCTCTGACCCTAAAATTCTCAAGTCTTTATTATTTGTGTAATTTTCTTCTTCAGGACTGAAACTGTCTTTGGAAACTAAAAGTGTTACTAAGTTCTCTTATTCTAGATAACAAAGCATCAAGTAGGCCTTTTAAGCCAAGCACCTACGAACATGACACACCTGAGCACTACTGTTTCTGCAAAGTTTCTTGTAGATCTGATCAATGGCTATGGAGGCATGCTCAAAGCACCGGCTAAAAAGCTCGTATCTTCTTTTTTTCACCTGTTCAAATTCTTGCTTGCATGTTCTGGCCTCCTTCCTGCTGGTCTCAAAAGCTATGAAAAAAAATGCTGAAATTACTCCATAATAAGCCTCTAAGCAAACACACAGAACAAATATGTATTTGTGTACCGTAACAAGCATCAAGGAGTATTTATTGCAGAAAAAGGTTCTAATGCACACACAAGGAGCATACCAATATTATGAGTTTCCTTCCAGATTTCAAATGGAGGCCCCAAAACTGAAAAGTTGGGATGTATTCAATCCGCTCTATGCCACATTCATCTGGAGCAATGAACAAAATTCTTCTCCTAATTCCTTCTGTAAGCTGGGTAGCCTTAAGCAGCACCAGCATTTACCTGTTACAGCTTCAGATCTCCTTGTTTTTCTTAATATGTTAATGTCTGCAGTGCTCTTTGAGGATACTGATAGTTTTGCGGTAATGCTCATTGAGTTCTGGACAACGTATATGTGTCCTTCAATTATTTAAAAAAAAATTAAAGAATTTTATTATTAAAGTCAGTAATTTCTAGAAAATAAGTAAAAAGACTTTATGATGTCATTTGGCCAACAAAGTATCTTTCCAATCATTCAAACTGTATTTCAATAAACTACTACAGACTAAAGTATACGTTAATAAATTGTTTACATTTAATTAAAAAGACAACTGAGGATAAACACTTGAGCACAAAACATACCTTAATATCTGAAATAAGCAAAGTCAGCAGGACCAACCCCAGAAAGAAGAATTTCAATTAGGGTGAAAACGCTCACAGTCACAAAAGAGATTAAGATGAAAGACTCAGTGTTACCATCTATTGACTGTTGGAACTTGTCCCGAGCTATCTGTAATTTCTCTACTGCTCTCAGGTTTGGAGCAGCTGTCTTCATTAAAGTAGTCTCTTTAGATTTTATTTCCTGCTGCATCTGGCTCAGATGATCCTCTATATCTTTATCAGACTCTAGGTCCTGAAGAAAAAAATAAAAATACTAGAACAATAAAATTTGCTTTTAGGCCAAGACATTTCATCATATATGGCAAGCACTCATGGTTTCTGGAAGAAGTACCCCACTCATCTAATAGCTTTACCTGGAAACACAACAAAACAAAAAACTCCACTCAGTTCTCAGAATAAATTTATTAGGTCCTAAGCATTGTTCCACAAGACCTTTAAAAACAGACCACAAATTCCCTAGAACTCTGGGTTTAAATACAACATGGGAGGGAGGATTAGCTGGCTTCACTACTTGCTTTGTAAAGAAAATCTTTGGAGACAGGTTCCCGATGAATTCTTCGAGACAAGTTCCAGTGATGACAGATTCATCCCTTGCTCTGTACCTAGCCTCTGACATTTAATTGTTTTCCTTATGATTAAAAAGGAAAAAATCTACAAAAAACTGCTGAGAAAAAACAACCTAATGGACTGCTCCAGAGGGAAGTACAGTGAGTCTCAGCCTCTGAAAATACTACAGAGAGAAGGCCGCACAACCCCCCTGGCAGCCAATCATTGGCTTCTAGCGTTTTGAGTCATAACCTATAGTGTTGGAACGTAAAGGCAGAAGGTAAAGGAGGAAGGAAAAATCAGAGTTATATTTACTGTTTCCCCATTCTATTTTTATGGTTTAGGTAAGCTTTAAATTAAATTTAGTTATATGGGAAACTGACCTATCCAGAAATCCCACACATTAGTGCTATGTATGATTGCAAAACCAAAACACACACACACATGCACTTAGGCTTAACTGTTTTTAGTAAGTTTCATTTAAAGACTAGGGTGAAGAATAGATAATTTCAACAAGTAAAATATTTTAAATAAAAAACTTGATCTCTAATAGTTTCAAACAAAAAAGATTACCTTCAGGTCTTCTGCTAGGCTGCTGTAGTCTATCTGAATTGCCTCCTCCCTTTCATAGATACTTGATGTAGTCCGAACGCTTTCTGTTTCGGTTCCTAGCTATAAATATGAAGGACATTCCAGTTCAGAAATATGACAGTTAACTTTTAAACTGTTAAAACAATACATTAAAAGGATATAAAATGAGGAGACAGTGGTAACATGGTATGAGGTAAACTTCCATAGCTCCTCCCCTAGCCAAAATGGAGTTAACAGTTAGTTAAGATCTTATGAGTCTAATTAAAAAATGCACCTTTTAAATGAAGATGAAAACATCTGCTAATTTCAGTTTGAAGCTAAGATGAAAGCAGCAATTTATTTGTAATATATTTAGAACAATGCGCATACTGTAAATATCCTGATTGGAAAGATTTACGTTCCCATGATTAATTCAATCCCCTTTCAAGGAAAGGCTCTGAAGTGTGTAAGTTGAGGCGTTTGTTCCACTCATTTGGCCTCAGAAGAAACGAGTAGCTTCACTTCTGTACGGCATAAGTAGAGTATCTTCTGGACACCGTAAGTCTGGATTTCAAACAGCTACTTTTCCTCGAATAAAACACGTGCTGCATGTTGTTACCAGTCCCTTTCCCACCAAGATTCTTTCTCAGAACCAAATCTTACTGGTCTTCTCAGTGATATTAATTAGGAATCCAAGTTGTTATTCCTACTGCCCCGCTCCTTGGTTTCATCTCTTCCTTATTCATAAGCAGCGAGAGCTGAGCTGCCTACATACTCTGATGACTAGCAGTTCATGTCCTTTCCCTTCAAAGGCTGCCTACCTGACTGCCTTCATTCTGTCTGTCTTCTGACCCACTCATTCATACCTATCCTCCAGCAAAAGTACTTTTCTAAGGAATCGGTTCAACAAGACGCCTTCCAAATTCACAGACTTGTTACAAGTCCCTCAAAACCCATAGCTCTTTTCTTTTGTAACGGGAGAAAGTTTAATTTCTCCTCACAACAGATATGCTGGAAAAAGAGGAAAGACTGAGAAAAATAACGAGGGTCAACCCTCTGATAGCAGGAGTATTTCTATTTTAGCCTATCCCTGATTTCTGTGAGTATCTACATCTACTGAAGACAAAAGGATGATTTTAGACAGCATTCATATTATGGATGATTAACCGAATATTATCTCAATCCATGTTCGTGCCATATTTACTTACATTTCTGAATTGACCCCTGCGTGTCCTCTTACAATACTCCTTCATACCAATTTGCTTGTACCACAGCGTTCTTATATATTTCACAGGAATACATTTCAAGCACTATCAAATACACTTGCAAACAGTATTTCTGTCTACAAAAATACACAGAAATCCTTCTTTTGAATGGATGAGGCCTGATCACGTGAAAACAATTTATTTTAATATTACTATGCAAGACATGCAGTCCTCTAAGGAAAAAAATAAGTATCTTTAAATTTAAGACTGAATAGTTGCTCCTCCGTGACATCTGTCTTCTGTAAACATTTTAAGTACCTCCACTTCACTGATGTCATCCAGTGATCCAGACAGGAGCTTTATTTTCAAGTCCTGCACCTTGCATTCAAGAAGCATATTATGTCGTCTTAATCTTTTCTCTTCCAGGGCAGTTTCTATAGCTGTAGCTTCCTTTTGTAATTTTGTAGCTTCCCTACATACACAAAAGGCACAAAACAATTAAAGAGCAGAAGCATCGCTGCCAATAACATCCACAGCCATACAGCATGAAAAACAGTTACCAAGCTCAAAGAGGGCTTTTTCCTCTATAATCCCCATCAAACAAAGGAAAATGGTACTTAACTTCTTCCATCCCCTTTATTCTCCCAAATTACTCAAGAGGGAGCTGGGAACCACACACTATTCTAGCATGCAAGCTAACACTCTGGTATTCTGTATTAACTCTTAACTCTATCGCAAGGTAAATGCTAGTAGCACGGACACAGTTTCAGTATATTGGCAAGTTCACACTATAGAAAAGGTGGATATTTGAACATGCTAATTATAACTAAACTCTGTTCTGTTCAGCTCTGCTGAACATGTATGGAGATTTGATCCTTGTAAATTTAATCAAGTATCTTCTATCATTACTCTACTTGAAATACACCTTGTTTCTTTGCAACAAACTCCTTTGATAGCATCAAGTTGCTAAATAAGGCAGAGACATAACAGTCTTACATCGTTAAAATTACATACTATAAAATTAATTACTAGGCATACAATCTATGAGTTTATACAAAATTCCACAAGTTTACCTAACTATACTGTGCCAACATGTCGCTTTTTTTAAACATAAAGACAACTCATGATTAAGAGACATTAAATACACCAATAATAAACAAACATAAGAAAACTGAAGTATAAACTGTCCCCAAAGCAGTTAATTTAAAAGAACAGTAAGGACAAAATAGTGAGCTAAAATTAGTATTAGTTTAAGGTATCCAACACTTGAAAGGCCTAGAGAAAGTGAGAACACTGAAATTAGAAAAAAATTCTCATTATTTGAACCAACTGTACAACTCCAACAAAAATATGAAACTACCAGCAAACTTAGTATGTCCCCCCCAATCAAGTTGTAAGCTAATACATACTTATCAGAAGTCACTACATATTTATCAGAAATCACAGCGAGACCTAACAGTAGATAGATAATAAGATAATGTTTTTCTATAAGGTTTATGGGATGGCTCTCATGAAATAATCTCGTTCACACTACTTTTGGGAACCACATACCAAATTAGAAACACTTTTTAAGTAATGCATACTGTAAATGCAAATTACCATGCCTCTAATGAATCTTTCACAAGAAAACAGAACAAGAGAAATTCAAACGTCTGATCACTAAAACTCTTCTAAATATTATCACATTAATCATTTTCCCAGGAGTACAATTAGTAATTACCTATTAAGAGTTAACAACGTCTTTCTGAACTCTTCAACTTCATTTTGGGTTTTTATAACCTCAGATTTATGAGCACTTAATCTATCCTTAAGATGTTGCTGCTCCTCCACAATTTCATTGACTTTTTTTAGAAGCTTTTCCTCATCCTGCATAGAAATATTTACATTTTTAACCTTTCACCAGAAATTTTGATATGAAACCTTTATAATACAGAAGGAAAGAGTTAAAAGCTTAAACCTGTTCCAATACATTCAGATGTGTTACAGCACAAAATCTGAAAGGCACTGGGAAACAGCCTGTCTTATACATAGGAAGATCCAGATGTTCAGTATACATAAGCACAGCCAGCTCTGGATTTGTGACTGTACCGGACTAAACTATAAAGCCATCAAACAAGGCAGGGATCCTAGGACGCCTACGATCTGTAGGCTACTCCCTTTTCCTCACTTAGTCCCTTAACCCTGCGAGAAGGATCCCATCTGCTCTGCATCTAAAACATACTTAGCAACACCTAAGGTAACCTGAAATCCTTTAAAAAGTATTGTTCATTAAAGATAAATCCTGAGGTAATCTGCAGAGAGCAAAGAATCTGTGGAGGTACTCTAGAAGGGTCTTCCCCTATATAACCCATACCACTGCTAAACTGCTAGAAATTAGGTGCTAGAATATAGTAAACCTAACGCTACATGCATGAAGACCCAGTCCTTAAGAGACCAGTATTACGGCAATCTAATCAAGACTTACTGCTGTTGCGGTATCCGAACAAAGTAGCTCCAGCATTTAATACAAATGATCCTTCTCTAGGCCAAAAATACCTGAATTTGCTCAAAGTCGTATTTCAGAAGAGTTACGCACACAGGCATGAAGTCAGACATGTTTTTGTGCATGACTAAGGGTCTGCTGTTTTTCCTCAGTATCAGAAATACATGTCTTCTCATGTTAAAATACAGAGTTCAAATGATGCATGTGGGGTTTTTTTGCCCACTTTGGGGCAGTTTTACATTTCACTTCTGTTTTTTGTTCAAAGCACTACTACACATCTTTTCTCCTTCACTTTCTACTGCACCACAGCAGTTTATTTAACAAGCAACATTAACACAACAAAAAATTACTTATGAATAAAGAGCACTATGAAGGAGGAATCCAGACATATTACTTCAACTAAAAATCTAAATTAGTTTTCACAGAATTATTTTAAGTCTATTAGAGGCTGTGAAGCGCCTTAAAGATGCAAAGCACCAGAGTTGCTTACTATTAGTCGTAAGATCTTCTAAAGAATCTCAGCCGCATGCTACTAGTTTTATCTGTAGTCATATGCTGCCTTTTCATATGAACGAAAAAACAACATAACACTGTACATACAGTAATCCCAAATTTAATTTTTAGTAATCTTATGTTTAATAATAAGTACCCTAATTATTCCAAGGTTAAAATGACAATATGCAACTGCATTTTTTTTTTAACATTTACAAAGTCAACACTGAATTAAGCCCTAGAAGAATTACTCAACAGCATCAACTACGTTTATTCAAAACTGTAATTCAATCCCTTCTCTCCTCTCAGGCCCAGACAGAGAGATACATGTGTATATATATAGTTTACAGTTACCTTCTGTAGCCCAGTAATCTCAGCTTCATCTTTATGAATGGTCTCCCTCAACTTGCTGACTGTGTTTGTTAATTTTTGTAGATGATCACGATTATATTCCAGCTGAATGTTTAGTCTTGTCTTCTGATTTTCAAATTCCAGTCTAGTCAAAGTACAAGTATTTCAAACCAACACTTACAAAGCAGGCTAGTAACTGTGATTTTAAGTTATTATAAGATACATTTTCACTTTGACTATTTAGATAGCATTTTTATATCTTCTACATGAACACAAAAATTTGCATACGTTTGGATCATCGATTCCGCTACACCATATCCTGTGCATATACTGGGAGTTACAAAAATACAGTGATAATAGTTCAAAGAATACAATATAAAGATACAGTATGGCCACATTCAATACAGAAAATAACACAAAGTTCAAGTATCTCAGTATGAATGATATACCTGTAAATGATGTAGATACGAGCTGGGCAAAAGCTACACTGATGCTGTGTATTTATCCAATGCCTGCACTCCCTGCTCAGCCTCCGCAAGCCTCCTAGTCAGCTGGCATGTATGTTTATCTGATTATAAGGAATCTATCTCATTTGGGAGATGGCAATTAAGAAGCATGAGACCAGAGCTTTTTAAGCCATATTCAGCCTTGGTTATCATCTCTCAATTGAGACCTGTATTTGTTTATAGGGGTACAACGGCAAAAACTTCTTCACATGCTGCTGTGAGAAAGGACTGAAGTAAAACTAAGCAGCTGTTTAAAGGAAGGTCTCCCCTCAGCTGTTACTATCTGCCTCCGAGCTTTGAGCTTCCCAAATGATTTACTACTAGTGCTGCATCTGCTCTTCAGGCAAAAGGGATGGCACAACGCCAGCTACAAGCTCTTTAGACCTGGGCAAGAAGGCACCATAGCACAGGCTTACAGGACTAATGATGGCAAGTTAGGGCACAAGCAAGGCCAAAGCCGTATGTGCAGTGTAGCATAAGGCCATGGAAAAAGCTCCTCTTTTCATTGTTCTGTTACTAACTTCTTACACTTCACCAGACTTCAGTTTTTGCAAACATAAATAAATGATCAAATCACTTCAGCCAGCAGGTGCTTTAACTGCAACTGAATGCACCGCACTGCTACCTCACCGCAGCCCTAGCCAAAAACATACATTTGGACCTGTTTCTGAAAACCGGTCAGAGAGTCTCTTAGCAGCTGAAGAGATAGCTGAAAAGAAAATGGACTTCAGTGCTAGCCATTGCACTAGTCACGTAGAAAAGGTGTATTTTCTATAAATAATGTCAGGAAATGCACAAACTATCATCTGCCTGAAAATGCCTGTAGTACAAGCAGACAGTTCATTTTAACATTCTCATTCTTTAAGATATAAATTTATGGTCCTGTGACATGTGCCTGTTTGAGGGGAATACCAGCTGAGGTTGCCTATGAGAAAATTAAGATCCTGTTTTCCTTAATAGCATGTTCCTATACCAAATCACTGCATCTTACACCTGGTTGTCCTTTAAGATTTGATACATGAGTGAGCCTTCATGTCATCCTCAATTTATGATAGAGCCATTTTTCAATGTGGATTTTAGAAAATTATTCCTTGCTTTATTTTGCTATACCAGTGCTACCAAAATAGTACATTTTACCTATCAAGTTTGTAGCAAACTGTCACTGACCATAACTGTCCAATAAACCCAAACCATAGCGGTGCAACTGCTAACTGATCTTTGCAGTGATAATGTAACCTTTTACAGTCTTCTAGGTTTTTACGGTATTTCCTGTGATGGAGTTACTCATTTATCAGTGTGCCCAATCAAATACAAACCACTTTTTTACATTTCAACTACAAATACCACCTTCTCTTATCAATCTCCTCTTGTTGTCTCACATGTTCTTGTTCATACACACGAATATTTTCTATACCAATTTCTTCACAGAATTCCTGGAAAACAGCATCTTCAGCCTTTGAATAAAGAGAAATGGAGAAAAAAAATGTTTATACCATTTTGGCACTCACAGAAGTAAAACATTTAGACAATCACTTCATGCTACAGGCTGGATTTTCAAGGTACTTAAAGAAACAGCAAACTGAACTACTGAGAAGTAATCTGTACTTGACATTTTCAAATAACACTTTCAGTACAAATGCCAGATACAAGGCATACGATCTGCAAAAGGTAACTCTTATCAAAGCTTTTATTGACAGCACCTGGTCATTCCAAAGACAATTAAAGTCATCACAGTGTAACCAAATTCTCTGGTTCTGCCTGTGGTTCCCAGTCAACTGAAGAAGAGAAAGCTGAATGGTACACGAGACACTAGTCAGATACACCAGGTTTCTTCGTGTAGCTCAGTTCTTCTTTTCAATCCTTTCAAGTGATCCATAAATATTAATTGCTATGTTCCATTTATAGCAAAGCCACAGCAAAAAAACCTGATAGAGAATCTCTCATTTCCTAATTACGCAGTATATACTAACAAAAGCCTCAGCCAAAAACAGTCCTAAAATTTTAATGAAAAATTTAAGCAGACAAATAGGTATGGTGCATATGGCAGGACTGAACAAAGAAATAGCAACAGCCTACAGCATTTAAAAGCAGACCCAATGGACTGAACAAAATTTTAAGAGAACTTTACACGTCAAAACCTAGTATTGTTTATATTGTTTTGGTACGCAGGCTTGTTTAACCAGATATCAAATACTACATCAAACCAAGTTATACTATTCAAGTAACACTATTCTTTGGAAACTGATCACCAGCCTCCATTTTTTTTTTGGTTGGGATTTTTTTGGGTTTTTTTGTTGTTTTTTTTTCAGAACAAGCAAAAGAAAAGTCCCCTGGATCTGGCCTAAACATCAACGACTTCCTCAGTGTTTGCAGATGACACACATCTGCACTCCCTTGTGCCTGTACCACAAGAAAGACAGAGAACATAGAGCAGTTTTGGCTTGTTTTACAAGCAGAATTCCAGTCACACATTAATCCAAGAGAGACTGATGAGAATGGGTCAGAGGCCAGGAACTAAGTTACATTCCATACACCTCCAGTAACTCCACACAACGGTGAGGAATCTCTCTTTCTCTAAGAATCTACCTTTACACAAGCATCTAGGTGCAGGGCTGTGAATTTTCCAGGTAAAACTGCAGCACTTTTCCATAGTTTGTACCAGATTCCTTTGTTTGGCAAGAGTAGGAACAAGGCAGCTTCCAGAGGTGCTTATTTTGCAGAGAGGCTAAAGTTATTGTCTGCTCTAGTAGAACACAGTATGAAACCCCTCTTGGTACCAGATTAGGTTTTACTACTATTCATTTCACTGAATGCCTTCAGTCTCTTCACAATAACCATGCTTTTGAATTTGTCAGCTGTCTGTACGAACTGTTCTGGGGACCATCTGAAGATTAGAGAACGATAGGGAAAATGAAGGATGAGATGGCAGAACAGTCTACAGAAAAAACAGCTGGGAGACCTAACTGTTGGATCACATATCATAGAGAACTTTTCCTGTTGCTGATGAAAAGCAGAAAGAAGCAGGTTCTAATGACAAAAGCTGTTTAGTACCATAACAGATAATGAATTTGGACAGGTGGGGATAGCACGAGGTCCCTAAGCTCTGCATCAGCTACCCCTCAAAAAAGAGGGAGATCAAAGACAACTCAGTTATATCATAAGCTAGTCCCATCTTCCATGAATTGGACTCCAAATGAATGTAGGCATACAACAGTTGTAAAACCAGAACAAAACAAAAAACCAAAACCCCAAAACCACAACATCCAAAAAAACCCCCACAACCCCAAAACACCTCTTCCCCCAAAAAAACACCCACCCACAAACGAACAAAACAAACCCCTAAAACAGTGGAATGCGGAATTTGCTGACAATCATCATGCACACCTCAACCATTCTCCTAGGGTAATCAGACTGCACAGAAAAAGCACAGATATTGACTACTTTCCAAAGAGAAAGGTATCTTCACGCTATGATGCTCTTTATCTACTTTTCTAGTATATAGTGGTGTAACAGGTCATCACCTAGACATGACACCTGTAGAGTTCAGAACAAAGCACTCTAGCAGTGCTGAGAACTGTTCTCAGCTCTAGAAAACTGATACAGAGCTCTCTTCCTAATGTCATGAGCATGCCTGATCTATTCTCCCTGTGGGTTGCAGAAGTAGTGGATCTTCTCGTCTCCCGATGAAAACATATTGATAGAGCACTTGCACATAGACACTGCACGGGTCCTGCTATGACTGCAATGAGAATGATTTTCAGAAGGACAGTCACCCATGCAGAGACTGTCAACCAAGTGGGTGCACTGATTACTGAGAGACCTGCAAATCTTCTGGGTGCATACAGAGTTTAGTGTATGTACATGCTGTCACAGATCCATATCGGACAGGAAGACTTAACACCAAAAGTTACAGTCTACTCATGCAGTCACACTGCAAAATTCTCTCTCCACAAAAAGGAAAGATCCTGTAACTACAGTTTCTTACAAAGAACTTGGACATTAGAGTCTGAGAAAGAATAAGCTGAGATTTATCAAATTCTATCCTGAGGCCATGAAAGTCCTAGAGAGTATTTTTCTGGGATTTGATCTACAGTGAAAGTTTACTCCAAGAGCTCTAAAGCTGTGAACTTCGATGGACTGTCCCTGCTCAATACTACAAAGAGTAAATCATATTTATGAGCAGAGCAAGAAAAGGTGGAGGAAAACCAACCCATCTTCTTCAAACTCAAAAATTCTCTTACGTCAAATGAAATTATAGTGTGTGTATTAAGCAAAGCTTTATCTAATATCAAGAAGTAGATGGTTTTGGTTGGTTTGGTTTGTGTTTGGCACATAAAAGTCACAGCATTTTGATTTTAAGGAAATTGATTTGCAAAGCTATGATACATATATACTAACATCCAAGTGCATTTCTGTTCACAGTTACCTTGGTAAGAAAGGGAGAGAATGTGGAAAGATTGCTGGAGTAACTTACAACCCTTGCCAACAAAGTAGTTTACAAAGTTAAAAGTTGTCCAGGT